GGAGTCCGCTGTGTCATCGATGGATGCGGACGCTCATCTCCCTGCACTACTGAGGCCCCACAGCTCGGATGGCTGCACGTGATGCTGTGGATCGTCTGGTGAATGTCGGGGAGCAAAAAGGTGCTGGAGGCAGGAGAAGGGGAGAGAGAGGGAAAAAAAGAACTGAAGCCATCTGAACTGAAAGCTGAGCTCAGCGCTCCAGTGACTTTAAAAATGTGTTGTTACTGGCCTCCCGTTTGGATAACTAGATAGGGAGAAAATAGTTGGTGACCATGTGAGGAACCAGGTGTGGAAAACTATTTTGTTGTGCTTCCAGGCAGAATTTAGCAACTTACTCTGCCCTGAGGCCATTTCTTGTTCAGTTGTTGGAAGCCAAGTTGATTGTGAAATGACTTTACTGTAAGCTTTTTTTCCATTAAGTTTTATTATGGAGGTTGTCTCTCTCTCAAAAAGGAAAGAAAAAAGTTTTAAAAAGTGAAGTGTGTTTTGTCCTCGATCAAATATATCATTATGTTCCAGGCCAGGCAGGAATGAGAACTTCCAAGGAGGAGGTGCGGCAAGAGAAAAGGACAAGTTAGTCTTCCAGTCATGCCTCCACCCCTGCTCTCTCTGTGAAGCACCTAAAGATGAAATTTCCTCTTGTAAAATGAGCAGAGCTCAGATCTGAGGTGGAACAGAAGCAAAGGGATGCACACGTAGTTGCAAATGGGAGCGCACATCCGTACAGATCTGCTGTGATACCTGGGGATCTTGGCTCCTGTTTTCTTTTGCCTTTTTGCCCCTCAAAACAGAAACACAAGATATAAGAAAACATGACATGTTGGGTTTTTTTAACTCACCAGCTCCACAGTCACTGAGGAGCTGCCATCTCTTTAAGGAGAGGAAGAGATCAAATTCTTCAGAACCTCTGAGAAGTTGCTCAGCCCCTGCTTTCTGTTCCAGCAACCAGAGGATTCAGGCTGTGAGAGAAACACCGAGCATGTGCACTGTCTCTTGATAATGGAGCTGCAGGGTATTCTGGCTCTTAGAAACCGTAATTTTATTTAATAAATTTAAATACAGTTTGTTTAAAACTGAGAACAGACAGTGCAGCTGTAATACTCTCCACCCTGGCCAGAGCTGGTCTCACTGACCACACGTATCTCTGCTCGCAGGGACCACGGCAGCCTCGGGGCGAGTCCGAAGGGCCCTGGCTCCATGACCAGCTCATGCAGGGTCGTGTTCTGGACTCGATCCTTCGCATTTTCCTGAAAGTTGTTTCCTTCCAAGGAGGGGAAGGCTGCAACCCAGCAGGGACTCGAATGAAGATTAGTGAAACAAAACATGCAGCTAGGAGAGGACGTCAGTTGGAAACTATTTAAATGGTATGAAAACTTTGTAGTCCTTTAAAAATGTCTCTTTCCACTCTAGGGTTTGCAGACTGAAGTGAACTTGGAAGGCCAGGACAATAACAGAATAAATCTGCTTGAGTGCAGAGAGCTACTGTTTTAATACAAGATAACAACACCCATTCCCATAGAGCAGCCAGTAGCATCAAATGCTTTCTATCCAAGTAGCTTCAGCCAGTGCATCTAAAGGAACATTTTTGTAAAGGCTACGCAGCAAGGCTTCTGTGACGGGGAACTAAAGAGTGCAAATTTTCCCCAATGGTTGTGATATACAGTGGGAGAAAGTAACTTACAAAACAAGATTATTTTTTTTAAAATATTAGGAAATACACAATGTCATTAGTCCAAGGGGAGACCTCTGCACTGTGAAGCTAACAATCAAATCTATAGCATTTTAATAGTTCTATTTGTTAGGGCTAAAAATAACCATTTCCAGGATTACATTTCCCCTCAATTCAAAGGTATAATTGTGCTTCAGACCTTTTTGAAAGAATTGGGACAGTGGGGGTTGATCAAAGGTTTGACAGCTGTGAAGGGGGAGGTAAGTTTGGGTTGTTTTTTTTTTGAAGGGGCTGGAGGTGGGGAGAAGGGTATGTTGTACCTCAATTTCTTCCTCAGCAAGTTTGTCAATCTCAAATACAAAGTCAACCAAGGTAGTAGCACCCAGGTTCCTCTTCTGCATTGCTCTGTCCTGTGTCTCTCACTGAGGAGCAAAATAACAGTTTCATCAGAGAACAACACCCTTTCATCAGCGCTATCTCAGGTGCTTAGATGTTACAAAACAGGGAAGAGGCAACTCATGTTCTAGGTGGAGAGCTTTCCAACCTACCTCAGGCCAGGTGCTGAAGAAACAGAGCACTAAGCCCAGGATCCCCTTTACAAGGGTGCTGCTCTATCCATCAGAAGTTAACTCTCCAACTGCTCCAGCGTGGCTTTTCACGCCGGCAGCTCTGCTCTGCAGTAGCACGGCCCGGCCCTGGAAAAGGGACCAGGGCTGCAGGATACATTCCAGTAGAATAGCAAATTCACTAACATCAGCTTTTATCATTCAATCCCTAGTTTTAAGCAGTTAACTTTATTTTTTAAGAGTGGAAATTTGGCTTTAGATAGGAGCACCCTTCAGAGAATCCCACACCTAATGCTCACGTGAACCAAATCAGAGCTAAACAGAACGAAGATCTGAGCCTGGATGAAGAATTACGGTGTATGGCCACAACAATCTCATCAAAACGCACTTCCAATTATTTTAGCGTGAAGGAGGCCACAAAAATGATCAGAGGGCTGGACCACCTCTACTATAAGGACAGGCTGAAAGAGGAGGGGTTGCTCAGCCTGGTGGAGAGAAGGCTCTGGGGAGACCTTATAGTGGCCTTGCGGTACTTAGAGGGGGCTTATAAGAAAGAAGGGGACAAACTTCTCAGTAGGGCCTGTTGTGACAGGACAGGGGCTAAACGGTTTTCAGCTAGAAGAGGGGAGATTAAGACTAGATGTAAGAAGGAGATTTTTTATGATGAAGATGGTGAAAGGCTGGCACAGGTTTCCCAGAGAGGTGGTCGATGCCCCATCCCTGGCAACATTCAAGGTCAGCTTGAACGGGGCTCTGAGCAACCTGGTCCAGTTGAAGATGTCCCCGCTCACCGCAGGGGGTTGGACTAGATGACATTTCAAGGTGCCTTCCATCCCAAACTATTCCATGGTTCTCTGAACAAAGGTATGGCAAAATGCCCTCCAACCCACGAAACTCATGAAGGGAAAGGAGAGGGAATACAAAGGGAACAGAGATACTTAAAGGGTTTGTTCTAACCTGCCTTGCTTTTCACCCTCCCCGAAACCGTCTTGTCTTGTGCAGCGTAACAAACACTGATTAAAGGAGGTTTAAAATTAAAGGCTAAGGTGCCATCTCAGAAGGCAGCTGTCCCCTCCATGAACAGAGAGCTGCTTAGGCTGTTGCACACATACCCACAAGGTACGTGTGTCTCGGGAAAAAGAAGTCGTCGGGGGCCAACACGCTCCTGTGGGCATTCTCACCCTCGCCTTCAGGTCCTGTAAAGCAGCCCCCTCAGTCTAGACCACCCTTCCAGCTGGGCTGCATCTTCAGTGCATTGTGCCCTGCATGCACTTCTCCCAAACCGAGCATCTCGCGAGGCAGCTGGTCTGGTACTGAAGCTGACGTCAGTCCTGTGTTTTCTGTGCTTTTTTCTCCACCTCCAGAGCGTCTGCTTCTGCTCAGAGTCCAGGAGGAAGGGCAGGGGAATCCGGGTAGTTTATGTATGCAGTGTTGCTTGTTTTCAGTACACTAAAACTCTTGGAAGTCAGCAGAGGTCCTGGCTGCTGCATGGAGGAACCTTGCAGGCTGCGCACGAAGAAATCTTCTGCAACAGAGACACAACCAGCATGTCTATTACCCTTCTGCCTCGCAGCAGTGAGCTGCCACCCCCTGGAACTATCCCCAAACCCATCTCGGATTGCAGAGCTGTGAGTACTGCTGCTAGGCAACTGGGTGTTGGGGAAAAGCAGTTGTGACAGCGCCGAAGAGCTATGGCCTCTCTGCAAAGCCGCTATATATAGCGCAGAGGATGCGCAGCGCAGGCTTTCCTGTGCCGCTCTGCCAACGGGCCGCTGCAGCAGGCAGGGCTCCGTCCAGTTCGCCTCAGGGAATGCGCTGTAAGAGAGGTCATTACTGTTAAAAATATACCGCTGCCAAGGAAATCTAACACACCCCCTCTTCTTTTTTTTTGGGTGTTCTTGCTTCTCTGTATTAGAACAAGCAGCAACCTCCTCTGCCCTCCAGGGCTGGTTCTACACTCTCGTTAATGGGAACTGTGCGCTTATTTTTTTCCCCATTATAATGAAGCGCAGCAGCACAGTCTGGATGCAGATTCAAGCAAACAGCCCATCCTTCACCCAAGCAAAGCAACTGCAGAGCGCACTCTGGAAATACAGGAGACTAAATGTAGCAGGATGCTCAGGCAGTTAGAGGTGAGAAGGCAGGAGATGAACAAAAGCCGTCAGTGTGCCTGTCCTTTCCCCCTTCCCACTGAAGAGGACTCTACATGCTCACCTCACGTGGGGTTTAACCCACACCGGCCCTTACGTGTCACTGACTTTGTGTGGCTTTGGTGTGGAGAGAAATTCAACTCTTCCCTCAGCGAAAGCTCCTGCCTGAGTTAAAAAGGCTTTCACTGATAGTGCTTTAGCTTTCCTCAGGTGTTTGCAGGTGGATGAATTCACATCCCTCACCCTTGTTCTTTAGCTATATTAGTGCAGCTAAGAAGGGAACCTTCTTGTTTAGACAAGGGTTTGGTTTTTTAACAGCGAAACTTCTGCCTAAACTCTCACTCCCCGGATCTCACTTCTTCCCCCAACCTCTCATCTGGTGTTTGCCCTTTAGCACTCAGCTTAAAGATAAAAAAGAGAGATTAACTGACGGTCTGAAGAAGTTTTGCAGTAAGGGAAGGTTGGAGATGTGGAAAACGGAAATTATAAAGCACATTTAAAAAAGCCCTTATCTTTTTTTCTGTCATTGCCTAGTATTTTTTTTTTTAGTGTTGCCATTGGCATTCAAAAATGTAAGCTCTTACCTGGTGTTGGTCTCCATTCGGCCACGCACAGTCAGATTTCCACATTGGGATCTGTGAATCCTTTCTTTCCCTCATTCACCAGCACAGGCTTTTCTGTCCTTGTATGCCAGACTAAAATCTGAAGAAGCCAACAGAAGTCATTAGCCACACCTCCTCACTGCACTAACAAATATTCTTGCACATTAAATCAATAGTGCAATTTAACCATCTACCCTGGAGCCTAATGGCGCATTCACAGCTGAAAGGAGGTTTGCATAAAACTTCATTTAGGCAGGTCTCCTGCTATCCAAAATGCACAGTGCACAGAAATTACCCGTTTTACAGTGTACTGTCTTGGGACATTAACCTGCTCCTTCCATGTAGTTATCAGCCATCTTCCTCAAAAGGCTCATCAACCTTCCAGGCAGTCCCTTCATAACTGGAAAATCACGCGTGTTTCCCCACAGACCAAGTTCTTTACTCTGGTTCTTGATTACCATGTTACTACATCTTTGGCCAGCGTGGAGTTACTCGCTAGACTCACAGTGGAAATTCAAGTTCTTGCCACTTCAGGTCACACCGTGACTTGTGCATTAGAGGGAAGAGTAAATTATACTGAGTACCACCAGCTGCTCCAGTCGTCACCACTGCCTTTGGCTGTGCAAAATATTAAAATGAATTTTTCAGTACATGTCTGAAAATCCATTACTGGAGGGAAGACATCAGTCTGCTTCCTAACCACACTATCACTTCTTCTTCACTTTTAGATTCTTTCAAGACCCTAAAAAGACAGGAGAGTGACACCGATCCGAGAAGCTTCACCGCTGCTCCAGCTCTCTGCTGCAACCTCGGCTGTCTCACAGCTTGAAGATGCAGGAGCCAGTCACAGAACACTCCCTCCCTCCCTCATGCTCTGGGCTGCACGCTGCCCTTCCATAGCCCAGCGAGCATTCATGTCCCTTATCACCTCAAAAGCCCCCCCCACATCTCCTTTGAAACGCTGGTCCCACGCTGCCATCCACTACTCTGTACCTGGAACGGTACGTTGCATCACTTTAAAGCCCCTCTCCAACTCGCTGAAAAGAGAACTGAAGCTTCTACTAAAAGCTTCCCTCAGCCTTAGCAGGGAAGTTTAATATAGATCAACATCTGCAGAGGAGAACTAAAAAAAAAAAAACTGAAGAGGTGGTCTAATGTTTTGGGGCAGGGGGAGTTTTATAGGTAAACAGATTTTCTATGAGCTGGGCTACGCTGCTGGCATGGGCAGCGCTGGAAGCTGTTGAAAATACTCTCCCCTCACTAGACTCAATTATCCTCATTGCTTTGCTCCTGAATTGCTGGGAGCAGCTTCATCCCTTCAGAGCTACAGTTTCCTGCTTCCCTTCACCTGTTCGCATTGATATTTCCTACCTTGCGGGGGTTTCCCTCTTGTTGCTATGACAATGTTCTGCACATTTAATCCAAGTATCTGCAAACCATTTCATACCTGGTGCCTGCTTTTCTGAAAAACGAGGGCACGTTCTGTTTCTAAAGGATGAACAAAGCACTTTTCAAACGCTTCTGGTTAAACAGGAGCACCCTCACCTTCCCAAGAAGCTGTTTGACCAAATTTGCCTCTGATGTGAGCTGTCGCCTCCTGTGCGTGGCTTAAACCTCGTCTGCTATTACTAAGGAAGTAGAGACCAACTGCTGTCTGGAGTGGGTCCAAAAAACCATTTCTTTGCCCCCGCACAACCACTTCAGAGCCCGCTCATCAAAGTTAGCCTTTATTATAGCCCCGCTCACCCACGGCAGCAACGCTGCTGCAATTACTGCGTTAATCTCCTATGAAAGGGCAAAACCAAACAGTTCTGTACAAGCTCCTCAGCCGACAAACAGAATGTATAAACCTTAAGGCAGCCTAAGTGCTCGAAGAATCTCGTAGCCAACTCTCCTTTCCAGCAGGAAGAGGTAAGAGCTTCTGACATATAAACGCTCAACCTGCTGATGGCCACGGGCTGCGCTCCACCAGGAACGGGACTCACACTTTAACCACGAACTCCATAAACAGAAGACCTCAACTACACATTGTGAGTCTCTCTTTGAACTGGATCCCACTTCTGCATCGTTAGCCAAGTTCCCAAAAAAGACAGTTATCTTAAATTAACGGAAATGGACCAATTTTCAGAGTTTGCAGCTTGATACAGCAGCTTATACTATTTTTTCATGCTGTTTTCTTTAATGTGGGAGGAAGATCACCATTTATTACAGACACATCTGCTTTTCCTCCCAGCTAATTGCCTCATGTTTTGCACAAGCAGTGTGTTTGTTCTGCGCCTCAGGGAAGCTCTGGCTTGTGCAATAAGTGCAGCTTGCAAGGGAGCAAACAGTGAGGGGGACCAAGTATCGGACAGTGGTGTCAGACAGGTCACCTGAGGGAGCCCCCTTTAAACATCCCTACTGCTGCACAACACTTCCAATCATTTCCAGCCTTGCCATTCAGAATCACGGGACTCAAAACAGATCGAAGAGATTACAAGGTTTCATCTCCACAGCCGACTTCTTCATTGTCTTCTAAAAGGAAATAAAATCGCAAACGGGCAAGTCGACCTACAGTTGGAGGGGGTCACAGCGTTTCACGCACACGGACCCTCTGTGGAGGGTTTCAGTAATCGTTGTTTGAAATGGAGACTACGTGAAGAAAAAGAGACACCAAGCTGAAACGACAGATTTGCTTCCTCCCGGCTTGCGCTAAACCAAGTTTCTGCAGGCTCATTCGGCACTGTGCAGGTCCTCTTCTCCCAACAGCACGTCCGCTGGTAAAACAATAAAGACTGCTTTTCCCTATGGCTCTTGCTTTTCTCATATGGTGAGAGAGTGGAGCAGTGCAGGCAGACAGCGCTGCAAAACCTGGGCTACTCACATCTAAATTATGGCTTTCAGCTGGGCTAGAGGGGATGGCATTGGCACAGCAGTTCTGGTGACTAACCAGGACGAGACGTGGCCAAAAGAACCCCCCAAGTTCTGCACGTCTGTCATAAAACCCAACAGCTCAAGCACTGGTGCCTTCACTGGTGTGTGCGTGAAGCTTAACCAAGTGACAGGTAACCGCAAACCACTGGGCACAAGCCCACACGAAAAGAGGAGCCCAATCTCGGGAACAATCTAACCCAAAAGAGGACGGATCTGCTCCATCTGTGCCCTGCTGCTCAGCCCCTGAAAAGCAAAGAAAACAAAGAACTCCTGAAGCTGATTCCCCTGCCTGCCATATGCAGCACCACAGGATAAAATCGGGAGGAAGCAAATTACTCCTTTTCAAGCCTTCTTGCCTTAGGCTGACATTTTCCCTCTCTCCTGCCCGTTCTGAGCCAGTTTTAGATCTGTGACATCGTGAAGCAGGCAGAAAATGGGGAGCAGCGTATGTCCCAGTTACATCAACCTTATGGGAACAGAATCTCAGACCTCTACCCTGTGTCCATGGATTGAAGAGAGCGCGGTTTGCTTTGGGTGTGTGTCGGGGGAAACGCAGAACACAGAAATAGACAGCTTGCTTGCAAAGCCTTGTTTCCTCAGAAGGCCAGTATAAACCCACCCTTCCCTTCTGATAAGGAGGGATATCTCCCTCCCTTCTCCTTGGCAATTAACACCGACTTCCTTGATTTTCCCCTTCATTTTGTGCAGTTCCCAAATCAAAGAAAATAAGTAGGATACATGCCTTTGGCCAAAGCTTAAGGCTTTTGCAGGAGGGTGCATGTGTGGGCTAAATTCTGAGAAATACCACAAATACCAGCAGAGCACACGGGGAAGGCAGCCCTTCTGGAGAACAGATGCCTGTGCTTATCTTTCATACTCTCTGATCCCTCCTTAACGACTGTATCTGAGCACATCATAATTTTTAACGTAAATCTCGCTGCAAAGCAGGAGTGTGGTTACTCCTAACAGAAACAAACCAGGCCAACTGCTGGGAGCACACTTGCACAGTAAGAAAGAAGTCAGGGCAAGAGGATCCCAGACCACAGCCCGCTTCTGTCCTTCTCTGCTACTTGTCTGGAGTCTCCTCCTCGTCAAATGGGTGAGCAAAACAGCAACTGGCAAATGGAGGCTGCTGGCACCAGCTAAAAGCAGAAAATTCCACCTGCAAAGCTGCACTCAGAGTTTGCCAGGAGCAGACGGCATTCAGTTCACAACAAAGACCCTTGTAAGATCCCCAGGGACCAGCCAAAAAAAGGAACGCAGTCTGCTTCAAATCCTGGCCAGCAATTCCTGCTTTCTCTCCATCTCTGACCTGCAGCTCTTGCGTGACAGCACTGACACGGCAGCCTGTCTCTCAGCACCCTTTTTTTCCTCCTGCCTGGAAACAACCTGTAGGTTTAAAAAATGAGGCACAGCAGGTATCACATAATAAACAAAGTTGCTCCTCCTCCTCAGCTCCTCTTCCTTATTCCTTGCTCGAGCACCACTGAACATTGAGTTTCTTGTTTTTGACACAGCTGGGGGCTGTGGAGCAGTGTGGATAGAAAACAGAGACGAAACGTATTATTCAAAAAATTTTCCGATCCCAAAACTGGATGGAAACCTTGATCCAATACAGGGTCTGTTGGCAGTATCAGCTTATTTGCAAAAAAAGAATAATCCTCCTGAGATAATTAAGCAATAAAGACTCCTAAATCAAGCTGCCTATTACAGACAAAAGCATGAGGGACCCACTCCGCACCTGCGGTGCCCAGTGGACCCGCTCACAAAGCTTTCAAAAGCGCTTGACAGCACCTCCGCTGCTGCTGGGCTCTGATTGATGCCTGTCACGCTAACCAGCATTGTCTCATTGTATCTCGCACGCTTCCCTGTCATTCCGGATAGATATCCATCTGTTGTCTCTCATCGTAGACTGGGAAGTCCTTAGGGCAAGACCAATCATTGTGTTCTGCGGTTCTATGTTATTTAGCACAGGGCCTTGCTCCATGACCTGGTGCTCCTGGGCAATGTGTACAGTCAAATAATTAGCCATCATTTGGCAGCAGGAAACTGCCCCCAAAATCAATCTTCCTGGAAGCCTCCTGGAGCTCAGAGCAATATCCTGGGCTTTAAAACATTTCCACGTTATCTCTGGCACAGAGAAATCCAGGTTGTTGTGGACAACTAGAGCAATATTGCACTGACTGATGAGGCTCAATGGCCTTTCTCCTACCTCGGGATCTTTAATACCCATGTATGAGGAAGAGACCATACCTTAGTGCAATTGGCAGCTTTCGGCTCAAGGTCATTCAAGGTCACTAGTTCCCGGAGCAGGCTGCTCTCTTGGTAGCCTCCCTTCACTCCTCGCAGTTTGAAGTAAGCCTGAGATCGCTGGAGAATCAGCCTGAGGTTCACAGCAAACCCTGCCATGTCTATAGCGAAGGGGCGATGGGGGTCGAACACAGTTTTCCAGCCATAGACCTTCCCCGCGGCGTTCACTTTGGGTGACTCGTAGCGCAAGCCACCGACGAAGGCTACTGGCCACACCGACACCTTTCTGGTGCTTCGCATCTAGAGGCAAGGGCAGAGAAGGGTACGGTGGGTGCATGCAGAAGGACAGGCTGCACGTGACTTCCAACACCCAAACCAGCACCCCGGCAGGGAGACCCCAACCTGCTCACTGTCCCGAGGAAGATGAACACCCTGAGCTTTGGCACAAAGTCCAGAGCCGAGAGCCTGGGGTAGATTCTCAGGCACCCTCTGTGGTGCAGAGTTCATTACTCACCCGTACAAGGACACACACGGAGCTGGAGAAGCTGGGGGCTTTGGAAAGCGGCAGCAAACGATGGCAATAGCCATGGATAGCCATGGAACCGAGCCCGAGCTCAGCACTAAAGGCAAGGCTGACGATAATAAACGTAAATGAGATTTAAGAGTGTTTTTTTGTCCAAAGGTCTTTAGAGCTGCGGGGCATCAGTCCCCCACACAGACGGCTGGGGAAATGAGGACACAGAGGAGGGAAGCACCTTGTCCAAGGCCACCTGGAAATGCAGGAATGGCCGATCTAGGAAGAAAGGTGCTTTCTCTGAAAGCTGAGGAATTTAAGCTGCAGTGTCTGCCTCTAGGCCACAGTGAGGGTAAAAGCTTTTTTAGAGTGAGGCACTGCAGCTGCAGCGCACGACCTCGGGGACAGCCAAGCAGCTCAGCATCTCCAGAAGCTCCCAGCACGCAGGACGGTGCTTGTAGCTGCTCCTGCTACCCAGCAGAACAACGGTGGATGCCTCTGCTCCCTGTAGAGTCAACAGAAATAGAGAGGAGCCACCGGGGAACACCACAGATGCCTGCACTTGCCAAGGCAATGCTCTGAAATGCCAGTCTGCCTGCTCAGCCCCCAGCACCCTGTCCTGCTCTGCTGGCAGGCCCGGCCTCGCGTTCTGCTCTCAGCGCAGTCTCTTAGATCAGGGATCTCCCAGAGCTAATCTCATCACTGCTAATTACGGCAAACGAGACCAGAAGAGCTCTGGCACTTGCCCTTCTGCATTATACACATGCTAACGGCAGCCCCTGTCCACAGGGAACAATAGTTTGTGTCTTCTGCATTTCACAGCACATTTCATTGGCTCCATGTGACCTTAACTGCAGCTACATATCAGAGAGGAGAAGCTTCTACGAGCAAAGCACATGAGTGAATGAAGGAACCCTTTCTGCTTTATTAATGTGCAGCGTCTGTCTCAAGATGCTGCCAGAGCCAGCCTCAAAGGGGACTGTGTAAGGAAGAAATTTAGTCTGATTTTGCTTTCAGCTTTCAAAGTGTGTATATTCCTGTGGCTATCCAAGCTAAAGTGAAAGCCCTCAGGGAAGGAAAAGGGGTAGATATGGAGCAAATTAACAGGAGATCCCTGGGATGAAAACTGGCAACTGGTCAGGGAGGAGGCAATCCTCCTTTCTCGTCCCTTGCTGCAAGAGCTCGGCCTCAGGAGAGCAAGGGAATGAGTAGTTTCTGAGCCGGAAGGCCGGTGAGGTACTGCGTCCCTGGCCCTGTAAGACCACTGGCTACCTGCAGACAGGCACAGCTCAGGAGTTCATTTAGAGTCCCAGTTGGAGTGGAACAAACAGCCAAGGTGGGTGAACACATGGGAGCCTGACGAGATCGTGAGGCCAGGCTGGAATTCAGCCAGCTGTCACCCTTCCTGCAGCCATCAACTGCCGGGCTGAGATCTCAGCCCCGTTGCCTATTTACAGCAGCACGAGGGACCATCCATCCCCTGGTGCTGCAAGAAGAAGAGCCCCGGAGGGCAGTCCTGCATGTGTCTCCTGGCAGAGAGACAGCCCTCTCCAAGGCAGTCCATGAAAGGTTCCACTTTTCTGGGAGGAGAAGCGAGCGCTGACAAACGCACGCTCCTCGCGTGTGCAGCAAGCCAGGGACAACTGCGCGGAGCGGCTCTGAGCGAGGTGTCCTGCAAGTGCTGTGACGGTGCTGACACCACTCAGACGTGATTCTGACAGGGCACTGCTACCTCAGTGGCCACCTGTGCAGAGCAGGCGCCAGGCTCTTGACGGCTACAGAATTTAACAGACAGCACTGATCCAGAGCTCGGGAGAGGACGGACACAGCATCTCCTCAGCTCACTACACAGCAGCTTTTATACCCCACAGGACAACCTGCTGTTGGCCCCCTCGCCCCCAGCAAGGTCTTACCTCCTCAAAGAGCTCCAGGCTGTAGGTGTTATCATCGTCGGCAAAGTAAACAATCCCAGGCTGGCTGTTATTTTTGTTAAAGGTCTCTCTCAGCCATCTCAGGGCAAGGTTCCTCTGCATGGTCCCCCGGGGAATGCGGGGATCCCTCATGTCTCCCCGCAGCTTGTAGTTGCGGGGTGTCTCCACGTTGAGGTGGGTGTAGTTGAGCCCCGTGTCCCGCAGCAGCCGGGTGATGAGAGGCGTGCGTCGCTGCGAGTCCTCCACCAGGATCCAGTGCAGGTTTGGCACGTGCAGGAGGGTGTTGGCCAGGCGCGTCAGCTCTGCCTTCTGGACGGGCCGGCTGTAGGTGGGTGTAATGACGTGGATGGTGGGAAGGATGTCTGACCACGGGGGTGGGCGGGTATAAACATATTCTGTCCTCACCACCTCCACAATGTCCCGGTCCGACAAGCAGTACTCCTTGGAGTCCAAGCCTGCAGCAAGATCACGCCGGGAGTCACCACCATCATCTGAGCAAGGGCATGAGAGAGAAGAAAAAGCCGCATGGACTCAGTCCTCCAACACCCCCCGACTGAGCCAGCAGGCTTCTTGCTACTAGCAGGTCACCCTCATGGCTTCAGAGGAAAGGAAACAAGCTCGGATGGAGGCTTTAATATATAAGTACACAAATAAATAAAGGAACCAGGGACAAACACGCATGAGAAAAGAAGTTCCTGCTGTTATGAGAAAAGAAGTTCCTGCTGTTAGAAAACCGGCACCAAACAACACCCGAGAGCCCAGAAACAATGCTGCAGCTGAGTGCTCAGAATAAGCAACCTCAAAAAGCACCTGGAACAGACAGGCTTGCACAGCAATGAGATATAGCTAA